TTTGTTTGTTTGTTTTTCAAGACAGGGCTTCTCTGTGTACTTTGTAGACCAGGCTAGTCTCTAACTCACAGAGATCCACCTGCCTCTGTCTTCCCAGTGCTGGGATTAAAGGCATGCACCACCAATGCCCGGCTTAATGTAAACATTTTTATCAGTCAGCACTCTAACCTGTAACTTTTTAGGCATTCTCTCCAAACAAACTCGCTAACACAAGCTGATCAGAACCCACCTGAGAATCTGTTAGCTAAAGTAGGTCTGAACAATGGGCTATGTTTCATCTGTCTGCTTAGAAATCATCACCAACATAGAACTCATGAGAAGAGAGATCTGGTTCCAACCACAATTCCTGCTCTCTAATGTTCACAAGTGAGTGGTGAGGAAGAATGATAAAGTAAATTCTTCTTTACCCGTTTGTATTATTTCCATATCCATTGACCCCAAGAAGCTCCTCCAATTTTCCCAGGGGACTTAAACTAATATAGAATAAATACCATTAACAGGAATTTGTGCTCTTTATCTTACAGAGAGATGTTTTGTGTCTTTGTTTTAGTTTAGTTTTTTTTTTCTTTTTCTTTTTCTTTTTTCTTTTTTTTCTTTTTTTTTTTTGAGAGCAGGTCTCACTGTGTAGCCTAGCTTAGCTATCCAGAGATTTACAGGAAGTTTCTGGCTAGACAAGGGTATATAATAAAATACTGTTTTTGTCTCAGCCTCTCCGGTTCTGGGATTACAGACATCTGTTTATGTCTTGGTTTCAATCCTAACCATGGGTTCTGTTGCAATGACTGAGAAGGAGCATAACCTAAAGGGACTAAGAGTAGATTCCACACAATTCAGTGTGGGAAGCAGCCAGTGAGGGAAGGCAGAAGGAGAGGTAACCAGTTGAGATGCCTCATACTTGACACTGTCTGAGGATTTAACACTGGAGTCTTACATGCCTCCTATATTTTAATTTAGAGCATTACTGAAGTAACATGGCCTTCCCAGAGCTGTTACCAGGAAGGAAATAGAGTTATTAAGAGCATTTATAACAAGCCCTTTAAACAGAAAAGCAAGGAGGCTAAGAGGCTAAATGAATTCTGCTCCAGGCCCACACTAAAGCAACTTCATTTCCTGCTTCAGTGTTTCCTATTCCTCGTGGCTCTGTCCCAAATGAATAGCCCACCTGACATCCTGGGCCTTAGACATGGGCCCTGAGCCATGTGATGGGGTTTCCAATTTCCTGCCCTGTGCCCCAGACTTAAGTCTCAATTATGTTTTTTCTCCACTGAAAAGTCATAATCTTTTCATAAACAAGATTTAGAATGTTAGATGGAGTACCTGCCTCTTGAGAATGTGGCAGCATATATTAGCCAAAGGATGTGGCTTAGTTACAAAGGCAGCAGTGCTTTGAGACAGCTATTAATAGAGACATGCTCTATGTATTGAGTATCTGGGGAGCGTTCCACTTAAAGGAATCATAAAAATAATTTCTCCGGGCCAAGGACAAGTGGCTTGAACAGTGCATTAGTCTAAATGTCTGTGTCCCCACAAAGTCATGTTGAACCCTAATTCCTAATAGGATGGGCATGAGATAAAGTCTTTATGAAGTGTTTAGGTCATGAAGAGTCCACCTACATAAATAGAATTGTGCCCGCCTTAGTCTGTTTTCTTTCTAGAGCTGACTGCATGCTGTATTGAGACTGAGAAGTTCAAAGATGGTTGGTCATGTAGGGTGATGTCCTCCATGCTAGAAGGGGCTCTCTATTGAGTTCCAAAGCTGCTCAGAGCATTATAGGACAAGACAAATTATCATTACTCATGCCTTTCATCCTTTAAAAATTCTTATGTTTATTGATTTAGTGTGTGTGTGTGTGTGTGTGTGTGTGTGTGTGTGTGTGTGTGTGTATGTGTGTGTGTGTGTAGGTTAGAGGACAAGTTGTGGGAATTGGTTTCCTCTCTAACATGTAGGCTTCCAAGACCAAACTCAGATCATCAGGCTTAGCAGCAAGTGCCTTTATCCTGTAATCCATCTTGCTAGCTGTCTCCTTATTTATTTATTTATTTATTTATTTATTTATTTATTTATTTTATGAGCCACAGTCTCATAGCATCAGTTCCCTGTCTTCAGCCTCATTTAACCTTGGTTACATCCTAGGAATCTTAACCTCCAAATATCACAGTCAAATTAAGTTTCTACCTTCTTAATGGCTCACATGAGTGATTAAATTTGAACAGGAGTTTTAGAGGAAACAGTTAAATTATAGTGGTGTCCCTAACAAAGGAGTTCTGGTGGAGCTGTTTCACCTTTTCATTGTGTCATGATTTAGTTACAGAATGTCCCCAAGGGCTAATGCATTGGACACTTGGTCTCCAGCTGTTTGGCGCTGAAGAGTTGATTGAGATCATGTAGGTGCTGACCTTAACTGGTTGATGAGTTCCCAGTTAAGCAGGTATTAAGGAAGTGGGGTTTGGTTGCACTGGTCACTGCGACATGCCTTTGAAAGTCATGTCATTGCTCCTCTGTGTGTGTGTGCTTCGCAGCCTCCATGAAGTGAACAGCTTTCTTCCACCATGCCCCTCTATCAGTAGGTTCTGTCTCACTGCAGGCCTAGAAACAAGGAAGCCATGCCACTGAGGACTGAAGGCTCTGATGCTCTGAGCCCGATAACACACCCTCGTGGGACCCTGATATGGCTAGAGGAGAAAGGCACTCGTTGCTCAAGTTTGATAGCATGAGTCTGATCCTCTAAACCCACAGAAAAATGGAAGGAGAGAACTGGTTCCATGAGGTTGTCCTTTGACCTCCACATGTGTGCCATGGCACATGTGTGCACCCCTATGACACATGCTCGAACATGCTGGAGTGCGCGCGCGCACGCGCGCGCGCACACACACACACACACACACACACACACACACACACACACACACACACACAACTAGCTTAAAACCTTCCACCTTTAAGTTAATTTGATCAAGTGTCTTGTCTCGATGATGGAAAGCCAATGTTCATACACTATGTTAGGAGTTAGGCAGGTGACATTTATAAAGCAGAGAACAAACACTAACTGTGCCATCTGCTGATACATGACCTTGGACATTTCAGTCTCCAGAACCATGAGTAACAAATTTCTTTTGCTTGTAAACAACCCATTTTAAAGGGCTTGTTATAGCAGCCTAAAGAGACTGGGGAAAGAGGGCAATGCTCATAGCTTATATACCTGTGTGGTTGGTGTGTGTACCTGTGCACACACACTCACACGCACAACTGCACGCACTACAGCTTTCAGCAAACATTTCTGTTGATGGGTAGCTGAAAACAACCCCAATGAAAGACCACAAAGCCAAGTTATTAATGGCCTTTATGACAATACATTTTTTTCCTACAAATAAAACAACTGGTTGTTTTTTTCTGACACAAGAAATGGCTCTATCCATTTGCCTCTCCTACAGAATCATCTTGATCTTGATATTTCTAAAAAGTTCCCTTAATATTTCCATATTGTAGTTTTATAGTGACTTCTATCTGGAATGGCATTAGGGTTACTCTGGGCTGTACATGGCAGGTCCCATTCTCTACATTTATCTCTCACTTCCTCCTTTAGTCAAAGCTCAAGTTATCTTGATTTGACCTGCCATGTGGCTTTCAATCTTAAACCACTTGTTTCTAGTCTACAACCCTCTATTTTTAAAGGTAAATGAACAAATCCACAGCAATGCCTAGGTACTACATAGCTGTGTCCCAACCAACCCATAGCCCTCAAGTCCAGATCTGTTACCCAGGATCTGTTGAATTTTAATTCAAAGACATTGATAAGAGTATAAAACATTCCTTCTTTTTCATTTGTTTTTCGATTGGTTTCGGATTCAACCAAAGTCTCTCTAGATCACTAATATTGTCTAACTCCATTCTTTCAAGAGCATAATTCATTGCCGTGGTTTTCAAACATTTCAAGTAGGCAGCAGTTTGTCTCCAGAAATGTCATGGCATTTCCTTTCTCTTTCTTTATATATGTGTATGTATTTTTAGTATTTGTATTTTGGGTACATGTGCTTAGCATTGATTACAATTAATTAGTTAAGTTCAAGTAAGTAGGCTATGAAAAAATCAATCACACTAAAATAGTTAGGCTCCTCCCATCTCTCACTATTGGGTAACTTTTTGTTTGGGTGTGTCTCTCTTGCCCTTCTACTCTTGTTTCTTTTTCTGCTTCCTTCTCCTTCCTTTCCCTTCTTCCTTTATTCTTCCCTCCATTTCCTGCCCTCCTCACCTGTCCTCTCCCCTCTCTTTGCTTTGTTCTTTATCCTTTTTTCTTCTTCTTCTCTCTCTCCTTTCCTTTCTGCCTTCCTCCCTCCCTTCCTTCCCTCCCTACTTCTGTCCTGTCTTATCCTTCATTTCTTTTTCCCCTCTCCTTCTTTTTCCCCTTTTTCCTCCCTCTCCTGCTCCCTTCATTCATTCGTCTTCCTCCTCCCTACCCTTTCTTCTCTCTTTCTGACAAGGCTTCCCAATCTGGCCTAAAATTCCTGAGCCTAAGAGAACCTCCTGCCTCTTTATCCTCCACAGAACTAGAGCCCCTGGTATGCCCCACTCCACCTAGCTACACACTCTTTCCAATGACTATCTTTTTTCTGTGGCCTTCCTCAGATATGATTCTAGTTCTCTGAGCTGTCTATCTGTTCTCTGAAATAACCCTCAAGTCTACTGCAAATATTTATCATAACTTTTAAAAAAGCAATATTTCTTAATGAGTCTGTGAAAGAAGCAAACACAACAAAAAATGATTCTGAGGCCCATGTCTCTGCCCCCTTTGTCCATAGAGGAATGTATCAACTGATTTCCCTAGATATAGAAAAAGAATTCAAGTCAGTGATGGTTTTCCCAAAGATTCTTTGTATATTTTTTTTAGTTTACTTATAAATTTATTCTGTTTAAGTACTGCACACTAACTGATTGTGCCACTGGAGCTCCTAAATTTATTCTAATAAGTGTACCATCACTATGCTTTCCCTGAAATCCCATGAAGGGGTGAACCATTTATGGAGATGCTGTGTACTAGGTTCACACATGGACTAGGTGGAGCAAGTTCCAATCCCATCTTTCAGATCCCAAATCTATTAAATATATTGTCCTCAGATAGAAAATGTATCAGATATTAAGCTGATAAAATTAGATACACATTTGATCTTAGCCAAATGGTCAGGAAGTGATCCAAAGCACTGCATTGAAACCAAACACATCAATTTAGCATCAAATCTTAGTTCACTGAGCCATCAATGGAGGCAGTAAGCACCAGCTGCTTGTCTTCCACATAGATCACTTGAATAATTTCTAAGGAATGGGCACGCCAGGAAAGCAGCTGCTTGAATTTCTAGATGGCAACAAGACATAGCTCTTGGAGTGAATCAGAATACAGTCTTAAGCAAAAATCATTCCTCATTGAAGAGCTGCATTTATGAGTGGGTAGGATAGATGGTGACTGAGTCTCTGCTCTGATTAGCTTTTCTCCTGCTCACCGAGGTTTGGGGACATTTCTGTTTTAGAACATTATTACTCTGCACATACCCCTGCTGGAGAAAGCAGCTCATATTTTTATTAATTTGCTGTGAACTTCACTGGATGGTTGGTAGCTGTGGGAGACACAGTGAAGACCATCAGGAGAGACGGAAAGTAGATCCAGAAGGTGAAGGCCAGGAGACCTTTCTCCTTGCAAACTGTATCTAGAGAAAATATTAACTATGTTCTTTGCATGGGGTATGCAGTAAGAGACATCTGATGTAAGGAATTGGCAAAAAGAATAGGTAAAGCTTTCTCTCTTTCAAAAGCAGTGTGAGAGTCAATGAATCCACCTAAAGAAGCCCAACCTTCATTAACATCTGTCCTCAAGTTCGGAGTCTAAGGGACTTCAGAAGGCATTCCTACAGTTTGTTCTGCAGTAATATACTCTGTATGTAACACACTCTCTACTTACTGATGGACACACTAAGACCGCATTTCCCCTGGGCCATCTACTCAGGGTGATCTGTGTGATCAAAGTCCTAGGAAGCTGGCAGTTCTCCTGCATATCTCCTATTCCTTGAGACTTGAGTAGGGTTAAAAATAATTTCTTCTGAGTTTCTATGACTGGTGACTCAGTTTCCTGTGTCTATTCTTTGAAAGGCAGGCTAAAAGTCTGCACTCTCCTACTTCATATTGTGTCAGAGCTTTCAAGAGCATTTGGTCATCCAAGGATTCTTTCTCTGTCTTAAGACAGCATCCATCCAAGCAAAGGCTGGGGTCATGTAGCTTAAATTGCAGTAGAATATGTACCTGGAGTGGAGAGGGCAGCTTGCATTTCCATCAATTGTGTGTGTACTTTAGGAAAATGTTCAACAAACATGAGCTGGTTTCTGTAAGTGGAAAACTAAATTTCATACCTTTTCATCATGAGGTGCATCCAAGAAGGAACTAATACTGCAAAGGATAACATGTCCTTCTGTATAAAAATTAAACATTGTAGTCCTTAATTAGATATTATATTTTTTATGCAAACACTCTCCATAATGACAAGTCATTTTGATTCAGGCACTTATATTAGTAGATAGAATAGAATCTGAGAAATAAGATATAAAAGAGGAAATTTGTAGTCTGGGGATATAGTGTGGAAGGAGGCTTGTCTAATTTGTCCATCATGTGGAAATCCCGGGCTTGATCCCCAGCACTGCATAAAACTGGGTGTGGTGGTACATTGGATGTAACCCTAGTTCTCAGGAGGTAGAGGTACAATAACCAGAAGTACAAGGTCATCCTTGGTTATACGGCAAGTTTGATGCCATCTTGGGCTCCATGAAATCCTATCTCAAAAAAAAAAAAACACCAGGAAGAATGAATAGCAATACCAACTCAGATTGTTCCATAAAAGAAGGGGAAGGAACACTTCCAAGGTCTTTTAATAAGCCAGGATTACCTTGATACCAAAACTGATAAAAATTCAACAAAAAAGAGAATTTTAGGCCAATTCCCTTGATGAACACAGATAAAAAATTTCTTGAAAAAAATAAAACCTTGCAAACTGAATTCAAGAACACATATCAAGTTGGCTCTATTTCAGGGAAGCATTGATGGTTCAATGGAAATAAGTAATGAACAAAATGGGACAATATAAATGGACAGAAATCATATGATTATTTAAATTGATGCAGAAAAGGCTATCTAGAAAATACAGCATCCCTTTAAGATACAATCCCTGGAGAGACTTGGGATGGAGATCATATCTCAACAGAATAAAAGCTAGTGCATAAAAAACTAGTAGTCACCATGATGATAAATGAAGAAAAACTCAAAGCATTCCCACAAAGATCAAAAAGATAAGGGTGTCCACTTTACCCATTTCTATCCAATACAGTGCTTGAAGTCCTAGCTAAAGCAGTAAAATAAGAGAAGAAAATCAAAGGACTATGAATAGCAAAGTAAGTCAGATTATTCCTCTTTACAAATGGTATGATATTATACAAAAGAGACCCCCAAGATTCCATCAGAAAACGTCTAGAATTTGAGAAGAAATTATCTGTAGGCTGGCCACAGTGGCACACACCTTTATTACCAGTACTCAGAAGGCAGAGGCAGGCAATTTTCTATGAATTGAAGGGCAGCCAGGTCTACATAGCAAGTTCCAAGACAACCAAAGTTACATAGAAAGACCCTGTCTCAAAAGACAAACAAAAAAGATCCTTTGGATGGGGGATAGAGCTTTGGATCCTGCCCTGAGGTAGGGGCATGCAGCCATTTGGCATTAGCTGATACCCTGGGGCATGTCAGGTACCAGTCTGCAGCAGTGTCCAATCTCAATCCTGGAGTCTCAGCCTCCAGGAGGCCCAGCAGAGTCTCAGCATCTAAGCTGAGTTCTGAGGCTGTAAGGTGAAAGACAAAATGATGGGTCATTTACCTGTATTCAGGCCCTGTAAGACTTGTAAGGAGGACACATGCCACAAACATAAAAGGTTGGGTCTGAGCTGGCAGATAACCATGCTGCATTGTGTTCTCAGATGTCAAACTTTCTCACTTGGAGACTTTCATTTGTCCCCACAAATGTCACACGTGTTTCTCAGAGCCATTTTTAAATCACATAAATCCTTAAGATGCAGCTTAATCCGTCAGAAAAAGGACTTACCCACATTTCCAGCCAGCAGTGTCCTGCAGCAGAAGTCAGTGTACAGTGACGTCAGAGAAATGGCTGAGTGCTTCGTGAAGGGCAATATGTCTTTCAGAAGCTTCCCCTGAACAAAGGACAAGGCAAACAACACTTCTACAATAAACTCTATAAGATCGCAATATTAAAGTTGAATTTCACTCTACCTGAGACAGGATTTTCTATCCTGTACTGAAAATAACTTGACACTCTCCATGAGGACTTATTACTTTGAAATGAATGGTATGGATAACTCTAAGCATGGATGACTATTAGCTGACTAATGAGTTCCTATTTCTTTGGTGTTACCTTTTCCCACAATTTCTTCCATGGGATTTCAACTATATGGTCTCCTCTTACACAGGCATTCCCATCAGAGTCAAATGTAACTCAATGGTTACAAGGCATATTTCAACAGGCATATTTACCTGCCAGGAAAACATATTTCTGATTATTGGGGCAATAATGGATTGTAATTATTTTGAGTGGTATAGGCTAGCCCTTGGAAGGACTTTCATATATGTTGTCTCACTGGACACTGAGAATAGAATTTGAGTCAGTAGCTGTTTTCTAAGACTTTACTCAGATATCATCTGTTCTGTTTCTCTCTGTCTTTTTTAAATTCGTCACAGATAAAACAACATTTTATTCCAAGATCATCTTGGAGGCAGTTTATGTTTTCAAACCGGGGGTTTCATTATGAAGTCAGAACCCATGGGCAGACTAGGGCTGAGCTGGCAGATAGCTTTGCTGCTTCAAGTTTTCAGAGTTCAGTGTGGGTCATACAATGCTGTTGCTGCCTTTGGATTTTCTGTAGAAGAAACCCTTATCACAACACTCACACCTTCTTGTGTGTACAAGAGCTTCAGGGCCACAGTGGGCAATCGACTCACAACTCCTGTATCCTCTTCTGCTCCCTTAAGGCCTCCTACTTTGAATTCTTTTTTTAAAAATAAACGTGTGTGTGTGTGTGTGTGTGTGTGTGTGTGTGTGTGTGTGTGTGTGTTGTGTTGTGTGTGTGTGTGTGTGTGTGTG